AAAAGAGAACAACGAAAGGAAGTGGAGAACGGCGACTGAACCGCCGCTACACAGACCTAAACTACATTTGTAGATAACTTCTCTGTAAATAGTCCAGTATTTCTAAAATTTTCTAGTATATTTGCAAGTAGCCGAAGTTAAAATAAAGTTCCTCTTCGAAAAAAACATGGAAAAACATGTACGGTCTTAAAAAAAAAAAAAAACGAACCTTGACTGCGCATTATGTAGAAAGAATACAATAACTCAACTTAAATTAAACCCATTTCTCTACTTAAATAGTGCAGTATTTAAAAAACTGCTGCTGCCACATAAACGATAATTATACATGTTCAAATAAACACTTCCTAGAAGCTGAAAATTAGAAAAAAATAGGTTTCCGGGCAAATAAAAGTTATTTTTACTCAAGGAGTAAGAGAACTAGTAAACTAAAAAATTGAACACGGTAACACATCCCGGCTAATAACCCAGCAAGGGAACCAAATTTCAATTAAGTTCAGCTCTCATCTTGTTGCCAGAATTTTGACAAACAGAATGTCACCAAAATCCCACAGATCTCCCACAGCAAGGCTGGTAAAAACGCCCTAATATGAACCTAGATCAACACTAGCCCAGGTTGCCAGTCAGCCATGTTATCATAACCCTGGTCCGTGCTCGAAAAATATTTTCACACCAAATTGGAAATGAATGCGTCGATACGTGTTTTAATGGTCTAGTTTACTTAATCTTCCAAGCAGTTTGATTTTCAATGAATAGGAGGTTTCACGCCAGTGCTTGACAAAGTGCTTTAATTTAAAAACCGTTTGCTTAACTACAAACAACAGATCTCATCCACATAGGCATCAGTTCGAAAAAGAGCGGGAAAAAAACTAACAGTAACCTTTACCGAAGACAGAACTCGATAATTTGAATACTCTGTCTGAAGCACTCTAGCACATTATGATAGAATGCTTAAATTTCATTAAATAAAAATTCCCAGTTCTGTTGAATGGTTATTGCCGTTAGAACAAAAGAAAAAGCAAACATATAGTAGCGTAGTTACCTTGCAAGCTCGTTAGCTTGAGCAACATGATCTCGACCTCCAACGATTACGGCAGTTTTTAAACCAATTGATATTCCCAAAGCATTGAACTGGTCCCCAATTTGAAAAGCAAGTTCACGAGTGGGAGTTATAACCAATGCGAATATTCCGTAGGGATCAATGGCCAACTAAACTAAGAGTAGGAGGAAAAACAAGGAATTTTTAATGAATATATTTTTAACAGGAAAAATGTTTATTCAATAGCTTACTTGGTGGAGGATTGGAAGTGTGAAAGCCAATGTTTTACCAGTTCCAGTTTTAGAACACCCTATTACGTCCATTCCGGATAAAACATGAGGAATGCAGTGCGCCTAAACTATAGCAAACAGTCTCTTTAAAAGCGGCATAGAGCAATTTGTTTTAGTCGATTAGATGTAACACACCTGTACAGGGGTTGGTGAAGTAACGGACAACTCTTTTAACTGACTGCAGAGCCATTTTCCTAAGTTCAACTCATCGAATGATCTACACGTTATACTTCTGCCAGCAGCCTGCAAAAAACATAAACTTTTGGAAAGTACCACTGAAATTGCAAAACTAACATCAGTTTTAACAATATCAGATCAAATCAGAAGGTAGAATTGGACAAAATACAACTACTACTAAGATTTCTGGTGTATCTTCAAAATTCATGTGCATTTCAATCCCCTCTGGACCTGATTCTTCTTCTTCCGCCTGAAAAATATAAAAAAGTAACCAAGACAAGTTTCACAACTTCTCATTTTAATTTCAAGCATTGCAGTATAAAAGGTTGGGAAACGTAGCAAAAGAAAAAATAAGTAAACTGAGGGACTTTAATTTAATCCAGTACATTTTCCCTCACCTCCTCACATACCTTTGATGACTCATTGTCTGAATCGGATTCAATGGGATCATCTCCACTGAAAAAGATTCATATTCATTGTAAATTAACTGTTTAAAACATTAAACTAAGAAGTAACAGAAAAAAACAACCGCAAATTATTTATTTTAAAAGGGCTAGAAAGAAAAAGAAATTATGTATTGGCAATCCAATTCAGAAATTTCCTTCACATATCCACCTCTAACTAGAAAACTCCTCAAACAACTTTTTCAAAATTTAACATTAATTATTCTTTCGCCTCTCAGCAACAAATTTATTCACTATTTTTAACTATGGGATTTTAGGAATAGCAATATAAAAAACTTTTTAGAAAAATCAAATGCAGCTCCACATACAAGTGAGCGATAAAAAGACATGGCACACAAAGAAAGAAATAAAAAAACAGAACTAGTGGTCTCTAGATTTAATGCCTATAAAAACTACCATCAAATGTAAGAAGCTTAATGAATAAAATCTATAACTCCTATAGCACTTCAAAAGCAATTATAACGAAATCACAAGCGGCATGGTTTTCCCTACTTTCAAATTAAAACTGTCCTCTTCACTCCAAACTTCTATCAACATTATCTAACAGAAAGTAAAAATTGAAAGATGAGCGGCGTAACAATCGGAAATAATGCTCACTGCTCTAATCCTCAACTAAAAATATGAGCAGTGCCCTATAACTGAAATCTCTGACAGCGGCACCGAACAAATTATAAAAGACGGCTCTTTAATAAATAAACAGCAACAGGAGTATTGATTTACGAAGTAACAAACATTAAACAATTTCATATTTCTATCAAGAAACAATAACTCTACAAGAAGTCAAAATTAGAAAACTTTACTTTTCTAAGCCTATGCCGGTAAAATCCTGGCGCTCTTCATCAGATAACTCATCCTCCGACAATAAACACTCATCCAGAGCAGATGTCATCCCTAAAACCAGATGAATGAACTATAATGAAAAATCGAAAATGTACAGTATTGTATGAATCCTCCTATTTACATTAAAGAACAATATTTAAGCCTTTTCGCGATCAAAAGCAACGAGAGGAATACGTGTGGATCCTAGGCGTCAGAAACCGGAAGTTCCAGACCAAACTAGGCCCACAAAAATTTTGTAAGACCAGTTACTGATTTATTCCCAAATTTTTTCTTTTATTTATTTATTTATTTATTTTTTTGGAACCATTTCATCAAGCACTGATAATTGTAACAAAAAACTAATAATTAAAGGCAGAAATGCATAAAGATTGGAAGATGAATTAAGGCCCAAAAGACAAGTTCGTTAAAGCGGCTAACCCTAACGGATATTTTTGAATCTCGCTAGAAATTCATCGAACAATTTTAAAAAACAGTGCAATAACAACCCATGAAAAGAAAATGAACTGGAGCATCTTATCATAGAAACGTAGAAAGCATCCTAGCCACTATTGGATTAGTACACCTTGTTCCTAAATTCAATCCTTTTACATAATCGATCCAGAACTTAAGCAGGAAGATATACAAAACAGTTTTAAAGATTTTTATAATTATGAAGAACATGAAAGATAAAGAGCACTGTGCCATATTTTACTGCTCCCATCAGGTTCGTACCTGTATTTACACTAGGTTTTAGGTTTTTATTTTTCTTCTACGTAGTTTTTATTAAAGAATACATTTCTTCATGTAAATTGTTTTGGGACTAACGAAGTTCACTATTCGCAGGAATTTCAAGATTTTAAAGTCTCCAATTTATCTTTTATATCGGACTTCCTGTCGGCCGTGAACTAAATGCTTTCAGAAATGTTTTTTAGAGAAAAACAGCCGAGGTCATGATAAAAAAAAAGATCTATTAAAACATTGTTATCTAGCAGCAGGCATCTTAATCTGCTGTATAATTCACGGTGGTCGCTTCAAAAACTTTTGAATGTTCTAGAACCGCAGAAAAAAAACTGCGCAAGCATCATTCAAATGAGCTAACATACTACATCTCGCCTTTCTGTAAGTTCTATACCAAATTATATGCAGTAGAAAGTTCCGAGCTCGTAATACACTTGTGATCCACCAGCTGGTTTAAGAGCTATCTACAAGTTCAATCTCAATTCTCAAAAACAAACGCTGAAACACATCTTGCAACAGAGAAGGCAACAATTGAATAATTTTACAGCACTTTTTCGGTGAGTCGTTCAATCAAGTGTATACGCACTAAAAACGAGAAGATAACAGTGCAGAAACAAACAGCCATACTACCTCTCAAGAACACTTCCTGATATTAGCAAAAAATATGCTACACGATCAAACAGGCCAAGTTAAAAAACCTTGGAAATTACCGGGTACTGCGTTAGTTCTTGAAACAAATGAGGCCACACATTTGGCAAACCTCCAGGAGGTCGTTTTTTTGGTTCTCAAGCAGGTTTTAGATTTCTAGTTCTAACTCGGTTCAAGAGGGCAGACTACCATACTGACCACTTTATCTAGATATGAATTTCTATTGATGTATCCAAATATATATATAT